CATTTCCCCCACCCCTTCCCCCCATACCCCTTTTTTTAAAACCCCCCAAAAAACAGGATATATAGAATAAATTCAGCTGTCTCCTAGCTGGTCATGAGACATAACGGGTCCTTCCTCTTCTTGCAAGCGGACATTCTGCAGGGGCCAGCATCAGATTGAAGGTACGTATAAGCCGCTTATTTTATTTTTTATAAGTACTGGAGTTGAGCTTTAACATTATAAATCTTTTTAAAATATTGGAGGCAAAAATCAAAGAAAAAGCAGAGAATTATGTCAATAAAACCGGTCTAGCTGTAATTTAAAACACGAGCATCTTACCTTCTGGGCTGTGATCGGCATTCTTCCTCCCCACTGTCTGCTTCCTGTATAAAGTTTAAAAAAAACATTATTAGAGTATATCAAGATTTTCCATAATCCCCTCAATCATCCCCCAGGTAATGGAACCGTGATGATACTTGTGCCATGAGAGGTCTACTCTCTGACAATTTCAGCAAACTGAGAAGGATTGCAACTTCCACAAAGCCACTGAAACCAAATATTCCGCCATTTTCATTACCAATACACCTAGACCACATTATGACAAATACATATAAAGGTTAAAATACATAACTACATCAGGGAGGTACAGTGCTCTGTTGCTGAGGTTTGGTACTTGGAGAACAAAGTGTAAAACGGCTTTTCTAAAGAAATGCTTTTGTTCATTGTGCAGTAAACAAAGCCCAACTATACAATTCGCTGAACATTTCCCTTCCTTACAACAAAACAATGCAATTCCAAAGTGCTTTCATTAGCTTTCAGGTTCTTAGGTTTAGAAAATACAACCAGTGCTTCACAAAACATATCTAGTATGTTTGTCTGTGATGCTCCTCAACAGTGCTTTAAAGAGTTACCACCATGCCACTAAAATGCATAAATAGATATCAAATGCAAGATAAGGAGAATCAGCAAGAGCAGAAGATTCCAGGTTGAACAGTAATTTATTACATGAGACAAACTTGGTCCACTGCCGCTGGAGACCAATCATCAACCAAGAAGGGTGTCCAGGCATAGCCGAAAATTCACTGGTTAGAGCTCGTGACCTGTTCCAGTTTTTTCCCTCCATCTTGCAATAAAGGAAAAAACTGAACTAACCCAACCTATATCAGTAAAAAATAAATCAAGGCAAATGGACTTGTATGTATTTTTCTTGGAAGTATTGCTGGTCATATGACTAGCTTTCTCAGTTCTTTCTGAATTGAGCAAGCTAAAAAATCGGATGACCTGCAAAATGTCTTCAAGAAAAATAAATCTAGTAAATCCAGTTGCCTTATTTTTTTACAGATATACCATGATCTGAATTAATGAGAACTTTCACAGACATAACCCGACCTATGTTAGGTCTATGGGGAGTCTGATGTAAATGGACATGTGTACAATTATATCCAATTTGTCCTGTTCAGGTCCACCAAAACAGCCTTTTTTTTCAGGACCAAGATGGACGCGGAGGTAATCGGATGTAAATGGACGCAGATCCATTTACATCCGACTCACCATAGGCTAACATTCAGCTTCTGATCAGGTCCATCCGAAAAACTGAAAGGTGGACTTGATCAGAACACTCTGTGTTCAGAACATAGAATGAGAATACAATGGGGGGAGTGGAACAACTAGGAACACAAATGCAGTGACCTCACCATCAGAAAAAAAACTATCACTTAAACGCTCTGGTATTTGCCACAATCTCAATATTAATTTTGCATGGATTGATCCTTTACCCCAAATGTATACCTCTGCTTATAACCAGCTGTAATGCAACACGGAGCAATGTTCAGCTGCTGTGGAAAAAGATCAAACAACCAGCAACGCATGGTGAGAAAAAGTTGTCCCTCAACAGCTCAAAGGTTGAGGATTATACACAACACTTTGATCTCAGTGGATTTTACTATGGCACTCATTTATTGTGTAAGTAAACCCTAACAATTAACTTCTTTTCTGCTTGTTTTTTCCAGTGAGAATAGATTTTCAGGGGTTATCGTTGTAGCTGGAATCCCAATCAGGAGTATGGGAGCTGCAGGCTTTGAGGTGGTTATCCTGGGTCTTGCTTTAGTAATAAGTCAGGTGTCCTGACACCAAGTACATGTCCCAGGTCACTGACTTGCTAGTAGTCGCAAGGCATTCAGGTGTGTCATGTGCGGCAGTGGTAGCGAAGGATAAAAGAGGAAGCTGTGCCAATGCATGGCTACCCAAGAAAGAAAACTGAAGCATGCACAGACAGGGGGGCAACACAAATGACCGAGGTTTGGCTTGTAGAGCATTATTGTTAATGAAGAAGTACTGATAACTGTCAGGATAAACAGGTATTTACTTCTTACTTCGAAGCCATCTCCACTGACAGCTAGAGAAAACCTCGGAAGTTAGGCACCAGCTGTAATTTTTAAGGAACATTGGCTACCCGTCTCCTGGGATTTCCATCCCTGATTTAATTTAACAGCTGCCAAAGAAAAGAGCAAACATAGGTCAGGGAAAAAAGTTTTGAAAAATATATTTTGGGTTTTGCCAGTAATTCAAAGAATAGGAAAACCACAAGGAGATAAGTGGGCCACACACTAGGAGTACAAGGAGCCAACGGAGAACTGCCTATTTGTTAACATTCTCTCCTAATTTTAGATTGTAAGCTCTCACGGGCAGGGCCCTCCTTACCATCTTGTCTTGATTTGTATTATAAAACGGCAAAGTCTTCCTTATACTGTAAAGCGCTGCGCAAACCGCTGGCACTATATAAATCCTGTAACATCATTTTACTTCTAGACAATATTCCTCAGAACTGAAAATATGACGTACTGAAAATTTCCATCATTCTAAAAAATATCTCTGCCTTTCTCTACAAATGTTTTTGATGCCAAGTACTCATTAGAAGGGATAAGAATATGGATTTGCAAATTGTAGAAAATAATATATTTTATGAATAACAATTGTCTACATGAACGGAACTGCACGATTCTCTACAAATCCGATCTGCATAGAAATTTTTAGACAAAACAAAACTTTGTGATTTGCTATTTACCCTACCTAACATCACTTCACTATTCAAACCATGATGTGTTCAATGCTATATAGTGAGCAATGCACAGAGACCAGTATAACATATTTCAGTGTCTTTGCCCTATAGCTGGAGAGTACATAATCTAAGTCAGTCTTTCTCAGCCAGGGTGCCATGGCACTCTGGGGTGCCATGAAATTTTCACTCAGCATCATGCCTTTCCATGGTGCAGCAGGTTGGCCAACAGCACCATGACAACAAATGATGCTAATCCAGGGAGGTTGGAAGCCATTCACAAAAAGATGGACGGTCACCTCTGTCTAGGCCTGTTCCATCTCCCGCAGCTGCAGCTCCTGATGTAATAGTAGGATCCTGATGTTAAGGAGAGACTGAGGCTCCTGATGTGATAGTCGGACCCCAATATGAAGGAGGGACAGAGGCTCCTGATGTGACAGTAGGACCCTGATGTGAAAAAGTGACTGAGGCTCCTGATGCGACAGCAGGACCCTGATGTGAAGGAGGGACTGAGGCTCCTGATGTGACAGTAGGACCCTGATGTGAAGGAGGGACTGAGGCTCCTGATGTGACAGTAGGACCCTGATGTGAAGGAGGGACTGAGGCTCCTGATGTGACAGTAGGACCCTGATGTGAAGGAGGTACTGAGGCTCCTGATATGACAGTAGGACCCTGATGTGAAGGAGGGACTGAGGCTCCTGATGTGATAGAAGGACCCTGATGTGAAGGAGAGACTGAGGCTCCTGATGTGATAGTAGGACCCTGATGTGAAGGAGGGACTGAGGCTCCTGATGTGATAGTAGGACCCTGATGGGAAGGAGGGACTAAGGCTCCTGATGTGAAGGAGAGACTGAGGCTCCTGATGTGATAGTAGGACCCTGATGTGAACGAGGGACTGAGGCTCTTGATGTGATAGTAGGACCCTAATGTGAAGGAGGGACTGAGGCTCCTGATGTGATAGTAGGACCCTAATGTGAAGGAGGGACTGAGGCTCCTGTGATAGTAGGACCCTGATGGGAAGGAGGGACTAAGGCTCCTGGTGTAACAGTAGGACCCTGATGGGAAGGAGGGACTGAGGCTCCTGATGTAAGAGTAGGACCCTGATGTGAAAAAGGGACTGAGGCTCCTGATGTAAGAGTAGAACACTGATGTGAAGAAGGGACTGAGGCTCCTGATACCATAGTAGGACCCTGATATGAGGGAGGGACTGAGGCTTTTGATGTGAAGGAGGGACTGAGGCTCCTGGTGTAAAAAGGGGACCCCACTTTTTCGTGTTTTTGCATGGGGTACCCCCTTAAAATCTATACCAGGCCTCTCTCTGGGATAACGGTGTGAAATTGATTTAGGAGCAGCAACACATTTTTACATTTTTGTTTTTTTCACATTTTCAGACTGGGGTGCCTAGAAATGTTGCATACTTTTAAAGGGTGCCATGACAGAAAAAAAAGGTTGAGAAATGCTACTCTAGGCACTCAGAATTCTTGGTTCATGTGTACAATGTGCTAGGTATGGAACATGTAGAATGTCGTGTTTATGTGTCCATTACCCAGTCTGAAAGTTTGGATCTTTCAAATATGTCTATTAGCATATACGGTAAACGGAAACCTAATAAAAAGGTCATGACTCATGAGTTCATGACAGGTGAGGTCATGTGATTTGCTGGTAAAAGCTCATTATGCCACTTCTTAATTGAAGTAATTTAGGAAGCCAAAAAAGGCAAGTCATTCCAATGTCAAAACCAACGAGGTGTGCACAGTACATCCCCCAGTGTCCAACTCTCACCTCTCCACAATAGCAGCCAATAAGCACCTTTTGTATGTTTATTAGACACCTCCGACATTCTCCTGTACTCTGCTCCTTCAATAGCCAGGTACCAAGAAGAAATGACATGCAGCCAGCGTCTACATTTCCTCTGCCAGACAGAGTTAAATCCCCTTTGTGGTGTGGCGGAAACTATCAGGCTGCAATTTACAGTCAGAGGATAACAAGAAAACAAACCCCAAAGTAAACGCCAAGAACAGGAAGCCCGAGTGTGAGATTTATATCAAGTAATTGGATCTAAATAAGACAATTAGGCTGACATGCTATTTCCTTATCTGCCATCAATGTAAGAGTGAAGCCTGAAATTAATGTAATCATTTCAGAGCATTAGGAAATCACCGAAAAGATAACGACACAGGATGCTACACAGCAATGATTAGCAGCATTTCCATAGACAAGAGAACCACACCTTCACCATAAATAATAGAAACCATCATTTAACCCATGCTCACAGCAATGTGCATGAAAACGTACATCGTCGCAGCACGTAAAAAAACTACCACCTTG